TACAGGTACAGGATATGCATGCTGTTGCAATGCCTTATTTAGTGTGCATTTGTAGTCTGCACAGATGCGAATGTCCCCATTAGCCTTGAGAGGCGTGACTATGGGGGTTTCCCATGGACTTGAATCAACAGGTTCTAAAATACCTTGCTGGATCAATTTGTCCAATTCAGCATCAATTTTCCCTTTAAGAGCAAAGGGTACTCTTCTTGCTTTCACCCTAATGGGAGTGACAGTGGGGTCAAGTTTCAAAGAAACTGGGGGGCCTTTGTAAGCTCCAAGCTGGGGGCTGAAGACATCTGCAAACTCTTTGCAGACCTCTGCTAGGCCTAACGTTTGCAAATTGTGTAGCCCTGTAACTTGGATTCCCAAGGCCTCAAACCAATCGAGTCCAATAAGACTCGTTCGTTCATCCCCAACTACCAATACATCTAATGGACCTTCAAAATCCTTGTATTGTACTGTAAGGGTGTCCTCCCCCTTTACACACACCTTGGAATTTTGGAAATCTGTTAAGATTATATTGGATGGCCTAAGTTTGGTCTGGAACCCACTGCTAGTGCAAATCTTCCTGAAAGTGTGGATAGAAATGATTGAAAGAGCAGACCCAGTGTCCAGCTCCATAACCAATGGAACTCCTTGCAACCTCACCTTAAGTGACAGTTTCTTTTTAAGTGGCCTGTGTGTGCCTGTTCTATAGATACTTCTGCATGATGCACAGAAACCCACCCTGTTTTGGCTGGGGACCCTGGTACCTTTCAGGTGCAATTCTTCTCGAGGTTGTGCCTTCTGACGGCCCAGACAAACAGCTGCTATGTGGTCTTGCTTGCCACATGCTCTACAGATTGCAGAACGGAACCTGCAGTCAGTCCTCTTGTGGCGACCTCCACACCCGAACCACTTGGACACAGCTGGAGACTTTTCTTTGCCTTCCTTCTGCTTCCTTTCTTTGGATGGGTAGAGATGATCCACCTCATCTTCAGGATCTTCCTCCGAGCTCTCTTGAACTCCCTCATGGTGCACGGAAACTGCTTCTGGGTTGTTCCTGATAGGCCTCATATTCTTGACCGCCTCACCTGCTGCCTCCTCTGCAGTAACCTCTCTCAAGGCATCTTGGAAGGAAATGTCTTCTTTTGCAAAGAGTCTCTGTTGCAAGTCTCTGTTCCTTAGTCCGCATACAAAACGGTCTCTCAGCCTTTCTTCTAAATCTTTAAAGTCACAGGGCTTAGCTGCTCTTCTCAAGGCTGCAATGTATTCTGTGGCCAATTCACCAGCTCTTTGATCCCTCTGTTCAAACGTGTGCCTCCATGCAATAACAGACAACTTGGGCTGGAAATGTTCCTTCAATAACTTCTTTAAGTCTGTATAAGTAACAGACTCAAGAGGAGCAGGGGCTACCAAATTCTCTGCAATTTCAAATGCATCTTGACCACAGACACACAGCAATGTAGAAGCCTTCAAGCCATCTTCTCTAACTTGATTCACTCTAAAGTAATTTTCTACTCTAGCGACATATGACTCCCATCTTTCTGGGTAAGTAACGTTGAATTCAGACAATCTCCCTATCTTCGCCATCCTTGCTTTATTCTAGGAAGGGGTCTATCAGCCAGCTTACCTCCAGCAACGCTGTACTGGCAGGCCAGATGCTGAATTTAATGCCGTCTTCCTCTCTCCAGGACTCTTGGGTAAGCCTTACAAGTCTTCTTCCTTAATCTTGTAAGCGATCCCACCTTCGTTGCCAGTGTTGAGTCCTCGAGTCGACAGCGAAAGAAGAGCACACATTCTGTTGATTCTAACAGCTTTTATTCTCAGCAACTCTCTCCGACACAACTCAGAGGCTCGCAGGCCTCTCTGCCTCCTTTAATAGAATCCCCGGGCAAAAAGGTAACAAACTGGCGTGTTTCTGCGCCTTATGCATGCGCGCAGGCGGCGCCACTCAGTTTGGTCCCGGGCAGCTTGCAACAGCCTGGGACCATTGCAACGTCCCGAGCCTGCTTTTGCAGGCTCAGGACACAACAGATTGCATCTTGGGGAACGAAGGAAATTGCCAGGGTGGCTGAACCTTAATGTCTGCAATTTGAATAATCAGGGAAAATTGACAAATAACAGAATAACAGAGTTGGAAGGGACCTTGTAGGTCATCTAGTCCAACCCCCTGCTCAAGCAGAAGACCGTATACCATTTCTGACAAGTGGTTTTCTAGTCTCTTCTTGAAAGTCTCCAGTGATGAAGCACACACAACTTCTGAGGGCAAGCTGTTCCATTAGTTGATTGTTCTCACTGTCAGAAAATTTCACCTTATTTCTAAGCTAAATCTCTCCTTGATCAGTTTCCATCCATTGTTCCTTGTCTGGCCTTTGGGTTCTTTGTAAATAGGTTGTCTTCCTCCTCTCTGTGACAGTGCCTCAAATATTGGAACACTGCTATCATGTCACCCCTGGTCCTTCTCTTCACTAGACTAGCCATGTCCAGTTCTTGCAACTGTTCTTCATATGTTTTAGCCTCCAGGTCTCTAATCATCTTTGTTGCTCTTCTCTGCACTCTTTCTAGAATCTCAACATCTTTTTATAGTGTTGTGACCAAAACTGGATACAATACTCTAGATGTGGTCTTACTTAGACTTTATAGACTGGTACTAGTGCCTCATGTGATCTTGATTCAATCCCTCTGTTAATGCAATTTAGGATTGCATTGTTTTTTTGGTTGCTGTCACACTCTTCTGGCTCATGTTTAATTGATTGTCCTCTAGGACTCCAAGATTCCTCTCACAGTTACTGCTATTAAGCCAGATTTCACCTAACCTGTACATGTACTTTTGGTTTCTTTTGCCTAAGTGTAAGACTTTACTTTTCTTTACACTGAATTTCATTTTGTTCAATAGGGCCCAGTGTTCAAGTCTATCAAGATCCCTCTAGATCTTGAGCCTATCATCTAGGATGTTGGCTATTCCTGTCAGCTTAGTATCATCTGCAAATCTGATAAGTTCCCCTTCTATTCCCTCATCTAAGTCATTTATGAGGATATTGAAGAATACTGAGCTAAAATGGAACTTGTGGTACCCCACTGCTTACTTCCCTCCATGTAGATGTAGTACCATTCAGAACTACTCATTGAGTATGGTTTGTCAGCCAGTTACAAATCCATCTGGTGTTGATGCTATCTATCCCACTTTTTTCTAGCTTACCAAGAAGTAGGCTGTAGTCTACTTCGTTGAATGCCTTGCTGAAATCTAAGCATACTATGTCCACAGCATTTTGCTGGTCTATTAATTTAGTTACTTTGTCAAATAATGAAATAAGATTGGTTTGGCATGATCTGTTTTTAACACACCCGTGCTGACTTCTAGTTATAACTTTATTTGTTTCTGAATGTTCACAGATGTTTTTTAATATACTCCAGTAACTTTTCCAATAGAATAGAATAGAATAGAATAGAATAGAATAGATCTTGGAGGTCTTCTAGTCCAGCCCCCTGCTCAAGTAGGAGAACCTATATCATCTCAGACAAGTGACTCTCCTTAAAAACCTCCAGTGATGGAGCATACATGATTTCTGAAGGCAAGCTGTTCCAGAAATCGTGGGTGCTCCATCACTGGAGGTTTTTAAGAAGAGACTGGACAGTCACTTTTCTGAGATGGTATAGGTTCCCCCAGGCATCCTCCCAGGTACTGATGTTAGGCTGATGGTCTGTAGTTTCCAGGTTCTGGTTTTTTGTTTTTCTTTTTTTTGAAGATGGGAACCACATCGACTCTTTTCCAATCTTCTGGTAGTTCCCGGTGCTCCAAGATTTTTGAAAGATATGGTACAATGGTTCTGAGATGACACCTTTCAGTTCCTTTAGAATTCTGGGATGTAATCCATCAGGTCCTGGTGATTTATATTCATCAAAATCAGACAGGTGTTCTCTTACCATTTTCCTGCTTATTTAAATTTTTATTTTTGTCTGTCTTTTACAGTTATGTTTTTGGTAGGTTGGACTATAGTTTCTTTTTCTGTGAAGACCGATGCAAAATATGAGTTAAGCAGCTCTTCTTTCTCTCTATTGCCTGTTATTTCTTTGCCATCTTCTCTCTTTAGTATAAAGTAATAGATGATTGTGAAATGTTGTCTCTACATATTCTGTGTGGGATCCTACAATATTTTTTCCTCTTATTCATGACCTAGCAAGCCTCTTTTCCAGAGACAAAGTTGTTAAATTATTGCAAGGAACTAATTAATGTGTTATTTTGAAAGAATAGGAATTATTTGTTTAGCTTTTAAACTTCTATTGTGCTGATTGTATATTAATATTTTTCTGTAAGTTTTAACATATTCAATCTATGAAGCTCCCTTTTTAATATGTTTACTATAATGTGTATATTTTATGTAGTGTGTTGATTATGTTTTAATACTTCCTTTTGAAACTTTAATAAGAGCTAGATAGCCAAATTTCCATACAGGATTTCCCCCCTATCACCACACATTTAGCATAATCCGGGATCCAAATTTTCACATGGAATATGATCATAAAAGCAAAATTCAAACACAAAATATGAACAATGTCATTGTTTCCAAATTGCTCACCAAAAGATATATGGGGAAGGAAAAAACACCACTCAGCTTTTAAAAATTCCTAGCTAATGGTGGACATTATAGAATAATGAACTGTTAGATTTATTTAGTGGACAATGTTTATCAGCAATACAGCACTATCTATATTCTATACCTTTTATATGTTATGGCTCTCTTTCTGCTAATCATAATGGAATAATTCTGGAAGTGGTCTAGAGAAGATAGAAAATTGCCATAATTTTGTGGAACTGGAAGAAGTCTATGAATAGGTATGTGAAAATTGAATATTAAATTTTGACAGAATTGGTGGAAAAACTGGATTGGACTGACTAGTACTAACTTCTTTTGAAATAGCTATTTGGGGGATTGGTAGGGATATTGACAGTTTGGAAAATGTAATTGGACAAACTACTGTGTTCTCAGTGTTTACTTGTTCTTGATTTTTTGTTTTAGTGGTCAACCAATTCCTAGAGTAGACTATACACCTGAAGAAATAAAAACTTGGGGCGTGGTATTCAGGGAGCTTTCAAAACTGTATCCTACTCACGCTTGTCGAGAATATTTGAAAAACTTCCCATTACTGACAAAGTACTGTGGCTATCGAGATGACAATGTCCCACAATTGGAGGATGTCTCTACGTTTCTCAAAGGTAAGCATCAAGCTTGGTTTCCAGGTAAGGAAAGTACTATAAAAGCATGTTAAAATCTAATATTTTCCCTCTCCTGTTAAGTCTGTTTGGTAATTTAGACTTAGAACACTTCCATTGCACACTTCCAATATTTATACCCCTCCAAATCTCTTACATATAGTTTGAAACAGATTTTTATTAAAGAATACCATGAACCAATCAGTCTTCTTACTTTGTGTGTATCAGATGACTTGTACATACTTTGAACACTCATGTATACATAGGAGATTGTTATGGGAAAGGCTGTAAAATATAAACATATTTCTTGAATCCTTTCTGCAAATGCTCCACTCACTGGGAGACCAGTTAACTTTTGTATTTGAAATCCCTTATGACTCGTGAAGCTGAAATGAGACCCATGCCAAAAATGTTGTAAGCAGGAATTTTAACTAACAGCTATGATCATAATGGCATGTGGTTGAACTTAAGGACTGGTAGAGTAAAAGAAGATATGTTGTAGGCCATCTATATACAAAGAAATAATACCAGGAGTGAAAAAAAAGCAACTGCAGTGGGCTGGGGAAGAAAAATTCATTGTGCTGCTGTGGCCTGGAGAAAGTGGTGGACTGTGGGATATGGAGGGCAGAGACTACAGGTCTGCTCTGGAAGCATTTTTTGATTGATGTTTCATGTGCTGCAGTCAGCAAGAGTTGTTGAAACTCAGATGAAAACTAGGCTTAGATAAAGCAAATGACAAGCTTTCTACCTTTGCCCTACAGTTCTGGTCACTTTGATAGCTCATAAACGCTTTATTGCCCCATGCCTTTGATAATTTTGTTTTTCTTTCTAGAGAGAATAAAGTTATTTGTGGCCCCTTTTGCAGTGATCCTGAGAGCTGGTATTTTTGATGACATATAAAATTTAATGATGGGGTTAAGTGGGAAATGAATTCCCTGTTGACATTAAAAATACAGGACAACTACAGTAAAGTACTCTGATAATAAAAAAAATTCAGAAGAACACTATTTCAATTGAAAATAAATATATAGTATTTAGTTTGAAAAGCTAACTCTGCCTCCTTTCTTTATTGTACCTTTATAGCTGTCAGCCTTTAACATTAACTGGCTTGCTGTCCTTTGAGTCTTGAGAGGCATATCTTTCAATGGTGCCTTTTGTCTGATTCTTTCTGTCCCTGAGAGATGCCTCCCCCCCCATTTGCTCAAAACTATAAAAGTATTGGAATGCTTCATAGTACTTACTCAGCCAAAGACATCAGTGAAAATTGCAGGGGAGATTAGGTGGGTGGGGAAAATAAAGCCAGGTGTCTTTTTTAAAAATAATTTATTAATGAAATAATAAAATAGCTGAAAAAGAGTCAGCTTTAAATCACAGGAAGTGATTAGAGTGACCCAAGAAAGATAATTTTTCTAAAGGAAATGGCAGCTTAAGGAGGGGAAATTAGATTTTATATTTGATGCATTTGTAAAGAAAAAGATTACTTAGAACTTTTTGGTGAGAGGAAAATAACCAACAGGACCACCAATATCTAAGGGTAAGATAGCAGCCACTTCAGACAGTATACGTTAGGAGGCTGTAGCAATTTCTTGTAATAGACAATGAGTTATATGCTTTTTCTTCATCCAATAGGCTTTCCAGCTGCCTTCAGAAATGGTGGAGACTTACTGTCAGAACCCATTTCTGTATTGGGGGGGGGGTTGGTTCTGTTCCTTTTGGGTTCTTTCTGTGAGTTATGTCATTCTACTGGGGGGAGGGGGGAGGCTCCAAAGAATGCATCATTTCTCCTTTTGCTTAGCTACAATGTATCCTCTCTGCCTGTCCTATCTGCTTGCTCTTTGAACTGTTTCCCCTTGATGTCAACTTGGGGTGAGAAAGGATTGTGCCTCCAGCCATCTGGCTTATCTCTCGCTATGGAAGAGAAAAGTGTGAAGACTCAACAATATCTTCACAGGCATGGGAACGGACTCTGCTATCAGCTCCGTTCCCACAACAGACCCAACACCTAAAGATTGGCTCATTTGAACTGACAGAATGAACTATGGGGTTGGGATTTGCTTGATACACTTTTAACCTATTGATCTGAGCGAGAAACCCTCAGGTCCTGCCTTCTTTGCCTGCTGTCAACGTCTCTTAATAAAAGTTCCTTTTGGAATGGAATTGTTCCAAGAGTCCTGCTTTCTTGGGATGAGGTTTTGAAGTTGGTCCTTATATTACTGGCAATTTTCTTTTGAAAAAAAAATTAGCCCAGTCAGTTCTTGTTCATGAATTAGGAAGAAATCAAATTGTTTTTTTGTTTCAGGCAGCAAAATGTCACAGCCATTCCAGACAACTACATTTTAACTTAAATATAGTTTTTTGACCGTCAATCACAATTGTAAAAAGATTGTATACAGCCTATTATATCTCAGTAAAGATTTTTAAAAATGATTTCAAAGAAAAATCTAATAATGGATTTTACATATATTTGTATTTTACATGCAGATAGTCTGTATGCTGGAAATAGTAGAAAAAATAAAATCTTATACATTACATATGTACAGAGGATGCTCTTTCCTGAAGTAATAATGATATGACTATTTTGGGGATGAGGAGTTAAAATCGACCTTATCAGAGGATTTAACTCATGCCCCTTAAAAAAAGTGTGTTCAGAACAAATTCAAAGTGTATATTTTTCATAAAGCAAATTGCATCTCTGGGATTTCAGGGGGAAAAAGTCATTATTGAGATTTCTGGAAATTAGGTACACATCTGGAGATTACTCATGTTGGACAGTTTTTGCTTAAAACAAACAGCTCTACATAATTATGGAGTTAGAAAGGACCATTTAGCTAATGAAATGTATTCCCCTGCTAAGCACAGGAATTCAAATTAAGATGTCTACAAAAGATGGTTTCCAATTTCTACATGAACAAATCCAGTGAAGGGAAGCCCATTGCTATTCTTGGTAATTTATTTCATTGTCAAACCTTTCTTACTGTTAGGATTTTTTTCTACCATTCAATGGGATCCATTATTCTATGGAACAAACAATGGGCAAACAATGACCTATATGACAATCTTATAATTTCTAATCTGCCATTTTCACCTAGGGTGATAGGTAGCACAGAAATTTAATAAAGAAACAAACAAATAATAAATCTTACAAATTGCTATAGTATTCCATTAAGTTTTCTCTTCTAGTGGCTAAATAGTCCCAATTTTTAAAATCTTTCATCTTAGTTAGTTGATAGTTCCTGATCATCTTCATTGGTCTTCTGTTCCAACTCATCTTAAAACATATATTCTAAAACAGGATGCAATTCTTAAAATGTGATCTGAACAATACAGATTAAGATGGAATAATGATTTCCTATGTTTGGAAATACTATTTCTGTAGATACAACTTAAAATTGAATTTGACTTTTTTTCAGACCTATCACAATGCTGAATCATATTCAGTTTGTAATTAATTACTATTCCAAGATCTTTTTCACAAGTATTATTATCATCCTCTATTATGCACTGGATTTCTGTTTTCTAAATGAAAATCTTTCATTTCTCTCCTCTAAATTTCATCCTGTTGCCTTGAAACCGTTTTTATCTCCTATCAAGATAATCTCCTAGGTATTAAAAATCCAATCAAATTTTGACATCTGCACATTTGATAAGCTTCACTAAATGCTTGCTAATTACAATGTCATGGGGCACTTTGTCAAATGCTTTGCAGAAATCATTCTCATAATCAATTAAAAAGTTACCTAGTCAAAGGAATAAGATAAGGTTAAGGCAAGGTTTGTTCTTGACAAACCCATACTGACTTCTGCTAATTGTTTTCAAGGTGTTTAAATTATCTTTAAGGTACTTACAGATTGATTTATTTATGAACTGCCCTAGAATTTCCCCAGCATTGATGTCAGCCTTATTGATCTATAATTTGCTGAATCTTTTTTTTCTTTCTTTTGAATATATGGAAAAGCATTTTAATATTTTTATATACAGTAGACCAGGGGTGTAAACTGCCAGTCCATGGGCCAGACGTGTCACAGCGAAACCGTGCCCATCCCATTGCCGGCAATGGGGAAAAAGTTCCGATACATCACATGACGTCATGAGTTTGACATGTCTAATATAGAAGCATCTACAGCAACCTGAAATGTTACGTAAATGATGAAATGTGCATAATAATAATGTTCTGTGAAATTTCTCTGTTATGTACTTGTATGCAATGTCATGATGCAAGTACAAAAGGGGCAGAATTTGTACCATAACACTAAAACACCATTCATCATTTCATAGCACTTATCTGTTGTCCAGGATTTTACAATGATGATACACAAGACTTTCAGCAAATTCCCATGATGCAATTCATCAGGGCTGGGTTATCTAAACTCTTAAGTGGTAAAGTAGTATTAACCTTACATGTTTCTATTAGTCTTGAATAAGATATTGGACTAGAAGACCCCCAAAGTCCCTCCAACCTATCAATCTATGATTCAACCTTCAGTACTGCTCATTCATTGTTCTTTATAATTTCTTTCTTTCTTTCTTTTGCTGGAGAAGCTAGAACTAAAATTTGACTTGAGTAGTTTGCTATTTATTTCTTACTTTTTTTAGGCCAGTTTGCCATATTACTGAGTAGTTGGCAAATTAATTTCTTTTTGTTTTGGGCATAACTAGAGAAAGTATGTTGTTTTTGTTAATATCCTTTACCAATCTCAGTTATTCTAAGGTTTCATTTCCTGACTCTAGTTGTACAGTTTTTGCATAATCATCATCATCACCATCATCATCATCACCATCATATATCATAGAGTTGGAAGGGACCTTGGAGGACTTCTAGTCCAGGCCACTCCTCAGGCAGGAAACCCTATACCATTTCAGAAAAATGGTTGTCCATTTTCTTCTTAAAAACTTCCAGTGTTGGAGAATTCACAACTTCTGGAGGCAGGTTTTTCCACTGATTAATTGTTCTAACTGTCAGAAAACCTCTCCTTAGTTCTAGGTTGCTTCTCTCTTTGATTAGTTTCCATCTATTGCTTCTTGTCCTGCCTTCAGGTGCTTTGGAGAATAATTTGACTCCCTATTCTTTATGGCAACAGTGCTGTCATGTCACCCCTAGTCCTTCTCTTCATTAAACTAGACATATTTAATTCCAGCAACTGTTCTTTATTTGTTTTAGCCTCCAGTCCCCTAATCATCTTTGTTGCTCTTCTCTGTGCTCTTTCTAGAATCTCAACATCTCTTTTACATTGTGGTGACCAAAACTGGATGCAGTATTCCAAGTGTGGCCTTACCAAGGCATTGTAAAGTGGTATTAACACTTCATGTGATCTTGAATCTATCCCTCTGTTAATGCAGCCTAGCACTGTGTTGGCTTTTTTGGCAGCTGCAGCACACTGCTGGCTCATATTTAAGTGATTATCCACTAGGACTCCGAGATCCCTCTCACAGTATCTGTCATTCTTCCTTTATAACCCGATTTTATTTATATTTCCAGGACTTAGATAGATGATAGATAGATAGATAGATAGATAGATAGATAGATAGAGAAATAGATAGAGAGATATATGATTTTTACCAACATTTTTATTTAGCCATTTTGGCTTCTGCTATCTTCCATTTTGTCCTATTTAGAATTGCTTGCAGTTAGGCTTCTAGTATCTTCCTTCTTATGAATTCCATCTTGAACTCATTAGTTTGTCCTCCCATGGAATCTTACTTATTCCTTTGAATTTATTAAATCCTGATGTTTGAATCCCAAGTTTTGATTAACTCAGTTTTAGTCTCCCTATCATTCAAATCATAACTGATCCTCTTATGCCTTTCTTTATTCTCCACCTGATAAGGACACAGCTGGCAGCATGGCAAAGCAGGAATGTCTTAAAAGATCTAGGCTTATAACATTTGCCTCCCAATAGATGTTGGAATAATTAAAGTTTCTTAAAGTTCACATGTCTTTGAAAAATCTGCAGTTTCATTTTGAATGGCATTATCCACATCATCTGCTTAGTTGGGTGGACAATAGTAGACATCAACAACAAGTTTATTTTTATTGCTTCACTCACTTACTTTAATTCAGATGATCTCTAGCACTGGAAAATTCATTCATATGGAAATCTGAGCAGAAGTGGATATGTTTAACATAATCTCCTTTTCTTTTCTGTGTTCCTTTAGAACAGTAGTTCTCAACCTGTGGGTCGGGACCCCATTTGGGGTCAAACGACCATTTCACGGGGGTCGCCAAACAACGCAGTCCGCCATTTTTTCCCCCTTTTCCTTAACTGTGCTACTCCCTTTTATTCTATTGGCTTTTGAAAGCCAATAGAATAGACTCTCTTTAATAGAGTCTAATTCTATTGGCTTTCAAAAGCCAATAGGAATTGTCCAGGCTGTCTCTGCCCTGCTGAGCCCGCCAAAAGTCCCATTCTGCAAACGGTGCTGCACCAGTTAAGTAGTCCTCAACTTACGACCGGTTGAGTAGTCCTTGGCTTACGACCAGTTGGGGGTCGCGGCATTAAAAAGGTTGAGAACCACTACTTTAGAACAAATGATATGACAAATGGCATTGCTATATTCCCATCCTGGATGTCCCCTGTCACATGTCTCTATTAGAGTGTATTTGCTCTTCTGTGCTAAGTTTAAGTTCATTTTCTTTCTTTCCTTTCCTTTATGCCAGGGACCCTCATAGTCTCTCTATCAGTAAGCTACATGAGTTAAATAAGCTCTGTTTTGTAAACATTGCAGTCTTATTTATTGCTCAAAGATAAGTCCCATCTCTCTGTTGGATAGTAGCCTATGTAGCATATCTTGATGCTAATAATGAACAATTATTTTAAAATAAATCTGGCAAGAGTTACTTGTATCAATCAATTAGAATATGCAAACATACATAATGAAATACAATAATGCTGATTTGTCTTCTACTTCAGAAAGGTCTGGTTTCACAGTCAGACCAGTGGCTGGATATTTGTCTCCTCGTGATTTCTTAGCTGGTCTGGCCTACCGAGTTTTCCACTGTACCCAGTACATACGCCATTGTTCGGATCCCCTTTATACTCCGGAACCGTGAGTATCATTTGTGATAAGCCATTACTGCAATTAGGGCTTACCTTTCCTCATACAAATTGAGGTGGCACCCAGGGCCACAACATCTCCTCTATCTTCATAATAATTTGGCAAAAGTAGATTCAACTGAGAGCAACTGGCTTAATGTTTTGAGTAAGGGTTTCAAGCTATGTCTTTTCAGTCTTACTTCAATACTCTGGCTTAGTTTTTCCAGAGCCACTGAAACTCGGGTGGCATAGTAATAATAATTACAGTTATGATGATAGATGGCAATATGATAGTTGGCAATAATTACAGTTATGGTAGTTATGATTAGTTATGATTTAATAATTACAATTACTAGGATAATCAGTATTATTAGTAATTAAGATTATCGCATACACCAGCAGTGGTAGTCCCAATGATTACTGACATACTGAATGCCATACCAAAATTTTTTGGGAAACTTAGAAAATCTGCACATTGACAAAGTTTCCATCTGTCAATTGAAAAAGGCCACACTGCTGGGATCTGTACATATTCCAACTGATACAATACAATATCCTAAGTTTTGGGGAAGAACTCAATAAATATAAATGGCAATACCAGTTAAAGAACTGGCAGCTGTGATCTCACTTTGTTGTATAAATAATAATTACTATTTCCAAACCTAGCATTGTTTTGCATGTATACTACAGTTCCTATAAATAACGACAGTTATAGTTCTATGTATTTGGAGGGTTATAGTTTAGGAACTCTGTGCTATTATCTTCTAAAACTGGATGTCAGAACCCATATTGGTTAAGGGGGCTCTTTCTACTTCTATTTCTTCTATTATTCTGAGTTCTGTCATACTCCTAGAAGGGAGGGGGGAAGACACTGAGGGCTGCCTCTTTGTTTCTCTCTATTGCTACAGTGTAACTTTTTTTGCTGTCTCTGAATACTTGCTCTTTGAACTGTCTCCCCTTAATATCAGCTTGAAAGGGGGGGGGGAAGGAATGTGCCTCCAGCCATCTGGCTTATCTCCTGTATTGGAAGGGAAGGTGCGAAGACTCAAACAAACATTGCTACAAGCCTGAGTCAGATCGGCATTATCAGCTCTTTCCCACAATGGACGTAACACCTGGGGATTGGCCCATTTGAATTGACCAGATGAACTATTGGGGTGGGGTTTCCTTGGGACTCTTTTAACCTATTGATCTGAGTGGGAAATCCTCAGATCCTGTCTATTATGCCTACTATCAGCTTCTCCTAATAAAACTTCCTTTTGGAAGAAACTACTTCCATGAGTTCTGCTTTCTTGGGATGAGGTTTTGAAGTGGGCCCTGACATTAGACAGAATCTGCGGAAGAAAGACCCTTACCGGGGGACTTGACAATTCATGTCAGATAATGGAATAGAGAGAGAGAGAAGCCTAAACTGGGGGGGGGAAGCCTCCTGTTGAGCAGAACCCTGCAAATACTCCAGCTCCGGATCCTCGAGCTCCTCGGAAGAGGAAATGATCGCGGAATGCACACAATCCCAGGTGGTCGATGGGCGTCAGGAAGAAGGAGGATTGGGAGAAAAGGCCAGAAAGGTGACGCTCAGATGGGGCAGTCATCAGCCAGGCTGGAAAGTGGAGATGGAGAGGTCCTTCCATTTTAGTGAAGACGAGGAAGACCGACCGATGCACTCCAGCCGACTGTTGGAACAGGCAATTGGCATGATGAAAATAGCACTCAACTCCATGAAGGAATAGAAAGCTGAACCATACCGGGATACCATTCACCTGTGATCTATCGAGAGGGCCTATGAAGGGGAACCCGAGATCCCAGACCCCTCCAAAGGTAAAATCAAAACTGTAGCTGTCACCACTGCCATGGCCACCCCTCGTCGAGCAGCAACTGCAGACAGAGAGGGGAAACGACACAAGCAGAAGAAGAGGCACTGATCCATCCAGAGGTTCCCACCCCTGGATGTAAAGTACCATGGAGAGCCACAACATCTGGGATTCTTCCTGACCCAGGTGCTGAATTACATGGAGGAATATGTTCGCAACATCCCAAGTGACCGAGCCAGGGTCTGCATCATACAAGTAGCCCTGGATGGCATTGCAGCACACTGGTTCTCATGGCTTCCCTCAGGCAACATTTTGAAGACCCCTTAGCTGATCAGAAAGCCCAGGAGCGACCAGTGGCAGAATACACCCAGGAGTTCCGAGCTCTAGCCAGCAAGCTGAATTGGCCAGAGGACATTCTACTCAGCCACTTCAAGGATGGGTTAAACTATGACCTCTACAACACCTGCCTGCCTCAGGAAGACCCTCATTGATTGCAAGACTGGTACGTCCTAGCTGAAGAAGCAGAGATCAACCTGGCCAAGAGACTAGGGGGAGATTGTGGGGGAAATCGTCATCGGAGTCAACCCACAAATCTGCAAAACAACCATCAGCCACTAAGAAAACCTCAGGATGTTTCAAATATGGAAAAGAAGGGCACCGTCCAAATGCTGCTCATGCACTCCTACCAGAAAGCCTGACCGAGCTCCAGCTGCCAAACCCGGGGAGACCCCAGCAAAGCTGAAGGAGACAACCATGAAAGGCCATTGAGGAAAGGGAACTCTGATCAACCCAGGAGGAACGTCCAACTTGTCCGATGACAAAAAAGATGAAACCCTGGTAAGTGGACCCATTGTGCCCCTCACCCGGACAGTAGAACTGTTAGCATTTGGCATGCCCGAGGGAGTAGAAGTCAGGGCATTAATTGACTCTGGCTGCACCCGCTGCCTCATAAGCCGAATGTTAGGACTTAGGAATTCAGGTGAGGAGGCTGAAGAAATCAATCTCTTTCGGTCAATTAGATGGGTCCATAGTAGGGGTAGCAACGCTACCAATTCAACTCATCATAGGGGGCCATGTAGAGACTATAAAATTTGTGGTGACCCCTGGCATAGAATGCCCTCTAATTCTGGGCATGACATGGCTGATCAAGTGCAATCCGTGGGTGGACTGGAGAACGGCAGAACTCAGATTCCTGAAAGGGGAATCAACCAAGGCACCAGCCCAGCCCTGAAATGGTGGAACCCCAGCTGAGAAAGCTGCAGTAGGCGGGGAGAAGGAGTTACCTGAAATACCGGAGGAGTATAAAGACCTGGCTGAAGGGTTCAGTGAGGAAAGGTCTGATGAACCTCTGCCTCACCGGCCAATGGATTGTGCAATAGAAATCTGACTGGGCATGAAACTCCCCAAGCCTAGATTGTACTCCATGAGCCTGCAAGAACTGGAGGAAAAGCAGAGGTTCATAGATAAAAATTTGGAAATGGGTTTTATTCATCTGGCAAAGCCAAAAACAGTCGCCCCTGTGCTTTTCCGAGAGAAGAAAGATGGGACTCTTCATTTTTGCGTGGACTATAGAGCTTCAAACACAGTAAGCAAAAGCAATCAATATCCTCTCCCCCTCTAGAAAGATATGCTGTCCCACCTATCAAAAGGGAAGATTTTCACAAAATTGGACTTAAGGGAAGCTTACTACCAAATCAGAATAAAAGAGGGGGATGAATGGAAGACAGTGTTCAATTGCCCCTTAGGGTGTTACCAATTTGGGGTTCTACCTTTTGGGCTACAAGGAGTACCCACAGTGTTTATGCAGTTGATAAATGATGTACTATGGGAGCACCTGTACAAAGGGGTACTTGTTTACCTAGATGACATCTTTATATTCACTGAGACCATGGATGAACATGTCAAACTGGTCAGAGTAGTCCTAAACAAGCTGCAGGCGGCTCACCTTTATGCCAAACTATCTAAATGCAAATTCCATAAGGATAAGATTGACTATCTGGGATATCGCATATCACCAAATGGCATAGAAACGGACCCTGTGAAGGTCTGAGCCATGTTAGAATGGGCTCTGCCCTGCACCAGGAAGCAATTACAAAGTTTCTTTGGTTTTGCCAACTTTTATCGGCAGTTCATTCCTTCCTTTGTCCAAATAGTGCTGCCGATTACTAACTTACTGAAAACCAGGGGGGAAGGAAAGCCCAAGCCAAGCCAAGCCAACCGTTAAAATGGACAGTGGAATGTCAAGCCACATTCAAGAGACTTAAAAAACTTTTTTCTGCAGAACCGGTGCTAAGGCATTCTGACACTGACAAACCTTTTGTAATTCAAGCAGATGCCAGCGATGTAGCTGTGGGGGCTGTATTCTTGCAGGAAAATGATGAGGGGACACTACAGCCCTGGGCATACACATCAAGGAAACTCACGGAGACAGAACAGAGGTGCACTGTCTGGGAAAAAGAGGCGTATCCTCACTTGGCGGCACTTCCTGGAGGGAAAAACTTTCTAGCAGATTCATTGTCCCAAATGCCACAATACAACAGTACTCAAAGTGATGCAACGAAGACACTTATGCCAAATAAATAGCTGGCAGCACACATCGTTACCCAAGCACAAGCCAAACTCCAAAAACCTTTAGCAAATCAAGCAGGAATTGAGTTCAAAAAGGCACTAAATACCGATGAATGGTTCCTAAGCCGTAAGAAACTATCCACCATCACTGATGAACTACCATGGGTGGGAGGAAAATTGTACATACCCAAAAGACTAACATTCATGCAACTGTGCCATGATTCAAAATCTGCAAGCCATTTTGGGTTTGTAAAAACATTGCACTTAGTTAAAAGGCAATTCTGGTGGCCTTTGATAAAGAAGGACATTGAAAATTATGTGACCAGCTGCCCGATTTGTGCCTCAGCAAAGAGACTACAAGGGAAGTCACCTGGATTACTGCAACCAGTAGCAACCCCCTCAGCACCCTGGAAGGAGATCTCCATGGATTTTATTGTGGAATTACGGAGAGTAGCAGAAACACAATCATCTGGGTTGTGACAGACTTATTCTCCAAACAAATACATTTTATTCCCTGCCAAAGATTCCTAATGCAAAGACACTCGCAAAACTGTTTGTTCAACACATATACCGATTTCATGGAGCCTCTCAATGCATCATATCCAACAGAGGAGCACGATTCACATCGGAGTTC